AGACTAGACCTTACTTTGAGCGGGCAAATGCTGATTAGAGGCACCTGCAAATTCCTCTTCATCTTGAGGCTTTCAATAAGACAGCATTTCTTGAAGGTAACACATCAAACTAAAATATTTATATACGTAAATAAATACTTCAAAAAGTGGTAGTCATTAGTAAATATTGGCTACCCGATTAGAAATCAAGAAAAAAGCAAAGTAGAATGGTCAAAATTGGATAGATAGGCATCTAGAAAGAAAGGGAAAAAGAAATAATAAAACGGAGCATGAGAAAAATAACTATAATAGCAACCATAGGTTGTCTGCAATTAGGCGCGATATTGTTTGAGGATCACAGCAGGACTGATTTCGATAGCCGCATTCTTGCACCTCTCTTGTGAGCATGCCAAGATATCCGAAGTTGGTACTCGGGCTTTATTGACAATTTGAAGTCACCCTATTGCAATGGAATCTTTGGCTGCTTGGAAATGTGATACAGTGCAAATTGATATAGACGAGGTCACGATGATAATGATGATTGGTATGCTTAGCGAGTGTAGGACAATAAAGGCACAGAAGAGCTGTATCGTCACCATACAACCAAGATGCTGATCACTGGTTCATGAACAACTTGTTCGCGATGCCTGGGCAGTCTTTGCTGACGAAACTGTGAGGGATCAGAGGGATATAGTCATCACGAAAAAGGCATTAGATAGGCCTTTTATGACTAAACTCGTCTTACCAGTCGTATTTATGGTATGGTCTATAGATCTGCCGAGAAGATAGATAGTTAACGCAGGAAAAAGTCTGTCATCTGTTGTGTTCTCAAGCAGACAACGCATTTTCCTATTCGGTCATCATTGTTTCGCACCTTGATTGCTTCTCCCATGATCATAGAAAACATGTCATCGTCCATGGAGCTGCCGATTACGCGCAGCCAGAAGTTCTTGTGTTCTTGGAAGAAACCACACAGTCCTTTGGCATTACACTCGATGAAGAGATGTGATCTGAAGTGAGGCAAGCAAGAGCCAGGAGAAGCTAGTTGTTGACCACCACCTTGGGCTCCATAAGCTGTGTTCTATTAATTTGAATAAAAGAGATAGTTTAAATCACGAGGTAGCACTGGAAAGTGTGTAGGCTATTTGGAATGGGAATTCGATAAAACATGAGGTTATATGACTTATTCTTTATTATGAGAGATTACGTCCTTGCATGTATCATGTACAGAAGCAGTTAAAGGCATATTCGGGGCTAAAATTATAATTAGAATCGGGAACTCTATAATAGTGAACCATATTCAACTTGGTGATTTGGCCTCGACAGTTCAGGCTATAATTTGAGTGACTGAGAGACTGGCACTGTCAGAGAATAACACCACTTAAGATTCAAATATCTTTTGTAGGCATGACGCCAACTCTTTGGTGAGCATTTAAGGATTTTATCTCCATAGCACATTGACTCTGATTTGGCCATGTCTAAACGGGTTACCCGATGCGAAATTGTTTAAACAATCTCCTGAATCACCCTTCCTTTTTCTAGTCATCTTATTTTCATACAAATTTAGTGCTTCTCCTTAGAAAGCAATGCAATCATTCGGGAAAATAGGAAACAATACGAATAGACAAATGCAGATAGGATCAACTAACCTGGAACTTACCATTAGATAGCTATGTCCCATCCAGGCGTTAGACCATCCATCAGGGCATGTCGGCATTTGGCGATCCTGCGAGTGGAAGGCGTACATCTGTAAAGGAAGCACGATACAAGAAAATACATGCTGGTCCATATGCGATATAGCATTCATCCAGAAGTAATCACTGTTAATAAACGAGGAGTGATGAAATGCTATTTCACTAAGGCAACTATAGTCTGAATTGGATAAGTTTAGTGGCACACACGATAGTTCTAAACTAAAGGCTATTTTATAGCCACGTACAATGGGACAGAATTTTGCAGCAATTTATGAAGAAGTATTCTAGACTTGCTTTAGATATTAAAACTACCTGATTGGAGTTACTTTTGTAATTTGACGCTTGTTAAGATGTGATGAAATCACAATAAGGGAAGGTTGTAACATATGTCTGCCTTTTTCTACTACAGCGACTACTTTCGTCGTGGCTATCTCTCGACACTAGCAGAAATACAACTTGTGAATATTTCTCTTTAACATTGACGAATAAAATCTCATTTTTGTACTGGGCCTATCATCTGATATAATAATATGACGTCTTACATGAATATGAAGCCGAAAGTCACGCCATGCAAAGGTTTAAGCAAGAAGATCTCTTGGCTAAGACAAATCTTCAGAGCCCTGTTTATCTTGCAATGACTAGCTTTCGCCGATGATTACCATGCTTCTTTCTATACCATTTGTTCGCCTGATGGAATCTTATATGGAAAGTCTCTACTCTCGTAGAGAAGCCCTCATTTTTACGGCATCCTATCGTCGACTTAACCAGTCAGTGAGTTCAAATCTACGTCGCCTATTGGAGTTGAGCTTCTGCAGCATACTGCCATGTTCCGATCCCTACCTACTCATGTTCTTGAGATTTGTCTACCACAAAAGGAATGTATTAGTAGATTAGCCACAATAGAATGAGTATTAATGGCTTGATTTTGTGGTAATTCTTGAAATAAAACAAACTTGGTGATTGAGATACTAGTTGATTCAAACATCAGAATTTTGGCCACAAACTAACAAATGTAAGAAGAAAGAAACACCTTTTAAAACGAGACACGAGGGGGGGGGCTGATAGTTGCGAGGTAGTCAGGGACTTAAATCTTTGCCTTGTGTGACTCTCGGTTACTGGTCATTGATAAAAGTCGCGATATGATAAGTTCGATGATAAGCTCGGTACAGTGGCGAGATTTGCTTGTTTAATGCGGAATAATTCGGATGAGAGTTATTCACAGGTGGTCTTTGTGCAAAGGGAATATTGGAAAATGACATCGAATGCAGCGTTAAGTAACTAATCGTTGTAATGGGAGAAGCAGATCTAGGTACTAAAACTATAGAGGATGCATAAGATTATAAACAAAGGAAGCTGGGACAAAATTAACAGGTTTGGCTGCTTGAAGAAAGTTTCAATATTTCATAGCCCTCTTTTTCGTGGTGATGTAATGCTTTTTTAAGGATATGATCTAATATGGCTCTAACGAAATAAAACAATAATTTAGGATAGTTCTAGTTGCCTTTAAAAATTATTGTTATTATTTAAACTCCATTCTAATTTAAGACGAAATCAGTCTCTTCCATGATCTGCGAATAGCAGATAGCAGGCTGATATAAAGAAGATTCACTTAGTTCTTTCCAAGAGGAATCATCTGATACAGACATTTTCAAGACTTAGCTATGACTGGGGAAGTAATAAAGAATATTTATAACTTAAAAAGATTTTAAGTGAGTTTCTAAAGCATAATTACTGGGCTAGTTAATCCTAGCTAGGGCGAAGTGTCAACTGATAAGAGCCCCAAAAGAACGAATAAGCTGAAGCATGTGGAAAGACGCATCACTGTAAGAAAGGTTGTAAACATAACGCGGAGACCAGGACAGTC